TAATAAGAAATTTGATTACATCTAAAGATTATAGATACATTATAAAAGATCATCATCCTTTGGGTCAACTGATTTGAATCGAAAATTCTAGAAATTCGAATCTATTGTCCATTTCTTTTCGCTTTTTTTCTTTTTATTTAAAATCTATTTAAAAAAAAAAATGGATGATGTAAACGTCGTATAAATACTTCACGTGTTAAAAAAAAAATTCACAAGCTGACAGATTTGGATAATAAAAAAAAAAAAAAAAATTTTTTTTGTGTCGAATACGTGTACGACATCTCAATTAACGTTTTTTTTTTTTTTCATCCCAGTTGCAAATCTCTTACTAAAAACGAGAATTAAATTTCATGTTAAATTCACGTCGTTATTTTATTTTATAAAAAAAAAAAATTATCATATTTTTTTACGTCGCTTTTTTATTATTATTATTATTATTTTGAATAATATAATTATGCGGTTCGTAATGCGAATGCTATCGTATTTTAAATCTTATTTTTTAAAAAATTTTTCATTCCTTAATATAATATTATTTATTTATTTAAAAAGTTCAAGTCGAATCAACGTGGCACGAGACAAAAAAAAAATTTTTAATTATTTTAAATAAGAAGAAATTTTTCAATATAAATTTAATTCTCGGTCAATTAATGTTTGGTTTATTATTATTATTTTTTTAAACGCAAAATAAATAAATAAATAAATGATAACAAAATAAAATGACGTAATAATCTCTGATAAAAAAAAAAATCTGAAGGAGGAAGGAAGCTGTCAAAGGTATATAAAATAAGTGAAAAGATTCGTTGACAACGGGCAGCCGTTACGATGAGGGCTTTTTTTTTTTCAAATGGGGAACTCTAAAAGGCTCAACCTCATTCTATATATATAATATATATTGTGTGAAATAAGAAGAAGAAGAGCTTTTGATATTATATATTTTATCTTGAATAGTGATTTTGATAGTAAATGAAAGAAATGAATGATGACAGCTTCCGGGAAATATCATCTTATTATTATTAATATTAAATATACACCGATACGCGGATAACATAAGCTAAAAATTTTTAATTATTATCATTATTAGTATTATTTTATTAAAAATTCGAATTCGAAAGTAAATTTTTTACTTTACAGCGGGTTTGTTTGTTTGTATTAATTAAGAAAAAGGAAACAGAAAGAACGAAAAAAGAGTCGTTAAAGAATGAATGAAACCGTTAAAAGAAGGGACAAAATCTCATTTCGGTCCTCTTCGTGGTTCTTTTTCAATGCCAGGCAATACCACGGACGCCGCCACTGCGTCCGCCGCCGCCGCGTCCGCCACCGCGTCCGCCACCACCTTCTTCGAGTGTATTTTTCAATTAAGATAAAACTTTTTAATTTCTTTTTTTTTTTTTTTAATTTTTCCATTTCGTTAAAAGAATTTATAGCGCGTGATTTTTTTATACGTGCTATAAAATATTTTAAAATGTTTTTTTTCCTCTCTCAATATTATTATTATTATTATTCGTTCATCTTTCCATTGATTGGAGTTTGCCAATTTTTAGATAATTAAAAATCAAAAAAATTATTTGACGTCGTCATCGTCGTAACTTTTTGTTTTTTTTTTAAAACAAAAAATACTACCTACGGTACTGTTTTGTTAAAATTGTAACATGTGTAAGATTGTGCTATATTTAACCTCACCCTTTGCGGCTCTGAGGGAAGATAATAGATAAAATATGTAAAAACTATAAACAGAGGTCATTTTTTTTTCTTCTTCCTCCTCCTCTTTCTTCTTTCTCAAAGAACTTTTTAAACTTTGTCTCTCTCTCTCTCTCTCTCTCTCTCTCTACCTCTGTCTCTGGTGTAATCATTAGAACATAAATTTTTCTTTTAAAAAGGAATGAAGAAGATGAAAGATGGAAAAAAAAGGCAGAAGAAGAAAAAAAGATTATTTTTGTCAAAAGCTTTGAATTTTATTTTTAAAAATTCTCTCACTCACTCTCTCACTCTCTCTCTCTTTTTTTTGGAGGGAGGGAAAAGAAGGAGGAGAAGGAGGAGGAGGAAGAAAAAAGAACCGAAAGGGCTTTGTTAAACGCAACAATTTTTTTATTTTTCACGACACCATTTTTTTTTTTTTTTAAATAAAAAAAAATCAAAAACTATAAATTCAATCGATTACGGTTGAAAATTTTTTAATAATTAATGACGTCATAATAAATATTTAATAAAATAAGACGACGGAAAATTTTTTTTTTAAGAGGGAAAAGTTTTTCCAAATGAAAATTTTAAAATTTGAATCAATTAAAAAATCAATATTATCGACCCGTTTTTTTTTTTAATTTAAATTTAAAGTCGTTATAAAATTATTAATGAGAAAAATAAAATTAAAAGTTTGATGATGATGATGATGATGTAAAATTTTATGACAAACTTCTTTTGATACGGTTTAAGAAAGATGAGAAAATGACCGACGACCGATGTCCCCCCCTTCTCTCTGTCTCTCTCATCTTTTACTTTTTCTTTTTTCCTTATTAAAAACTATATAAAGTTGAATTAGAGTTTTCAAAAAACCTCAAAGGATTTTTCTAATGGAAAACTTGACAAAAAACAAAATCAAAACCTTAGAAAATTAATCTTTCTTTTTCTTACATAAAGATATTCGAAAGATTAAATAATATTAATAATATTAAAATTTCATAGAGTAATAAAAAATAAAAAATTCATAGAGTAATACAAAAAAAGTATCAGAGTAATAAAAAAACGTGTAATTAAAATTATATACGACGTTTAATCAATTTAAAAAAAAGAAGCAAACTATTAATTACCCATCGAGCCGCCATATTTAAAAAAAAATATTTTATCGATCGGTTATTATTATTATCTTTAAAAAAAAAAAAAACAAAAACAAATTTATAAAAGATTATTATTAGTAATTAATCAATAATTTGGTTTAACGACGAACAAACAAACAAACAAAAGATTCGTTTTATTATTATTACTTTTTTTTTTACGTTAAAAAAAAAGAAATTTATTTTTTTTCTTATTCTTCTTCTTCTGCTTCCACTGATAAATCAATTCGTGCCAACCAATGATTAGAAAATATTTTTAAAAAGTGGAAGAAGAAGAAATTTATTCAACCGTGAGACAGAAACAATTTTTTTTTTTTTTATTCTTTTATAGTTTAAATAACAAAAGAATTTAAAGTTTTTTACAGAAAGAATTTATATTTGTGTTTGTTTGTTTGTTGCAATGTGCGTGTGTGTGTGTGTGTTTGTTGGGGGGTGTTTGAACGCACGTCTTAACGATAATAAAAATTTGGATAAATGATTAGTTTTGTCGCATTTGATAAAGATACCGTTATAAAATTTAATTTTTGTCATTTAAAAAGTAGTTGTCCAGTTTGTTTATTTTTTTTTCGGGGGGAAGAGAGAGGGGGAGCTGGAAAAAAGAAAATGGAATGATATCTTTTTTTAAAATTTGAAAAAAAAAAATTTTTTTTCATAAATTTTGTACGATAAAAACTTTTTTTTTGCTTCCTTTCATTCTTTCTTTCGTCATTTGAAAACATTGAAACGTAAATTTTGTTGATTCCTGATTAAAATCAGGTAATCGATCAAACTGACGTAAAATTCCTGGAAAAAAAAAATTCCAGAATGAAAAAAGAAAAAAAAATCAAAAAAAATCTGGCTAATTTAATTTTCGTAACAAAAAAGGAGAAAAAAAAGGAGAAAAAAAAAATAGTTGCGAAGTTGAAATCTGGAAAAACTCCAGAATCATTTATCAACAACCCTTTTTTTTGATGTGAACCAAAAAAAAAAAAAAATTTTTTTTGAGCCTAAAACGAAGCCGAAAAACCTAAAAAATTATATTAAAATAAAAACCCAATCGACCAAAATTTTTTTTTCCTTTTTTTCTCCTCCTTTTTTTCCTTTTTTTCCTTTTTGAAACTCTCGTTTCCAGTATATAAATTTATTGAAGAGAACTTTAAGTCAAAAATTGAAGAATCCTTTCGAGTTTCTTTTCCAATAATTTTTGAGAAAACCTTTTCCAAAATTCTAGAGAAAAAAAAACCTTACACGTAATGGATTATTTTAAACTTTAATTTTTTTTTTTAAACAGAAAAATGAAAATTTTCTAATAAGTCTAGAAAAGTCAATTTCGAAACAAAAAAATATTAATAATAATAATTATTCGTATTTAAATATTTACCCTTTCCTCTTCTTTTAAAAGTCGTCTGCTTTTTTTTTTTGTGTAAACGCAAGAAAAAAAAAAACGTATACGAAACATTAAAATTAATTCATCCGAATCTAATTTAAAAACCGTTCTAACGGACCGAACGCCTTTTTTTTTTTTTAATTTATCTTTAAGTCTAACCTTTTTCGGTTACGACCCCCGCCCCACCGCCTCCCCTCCCTCCGCCCCCTTCGCCGCCGCCACACGCACACATGACAAAACAAAACAAAAAAAAAAAAAAAATTACGTTCAGTGACTTAAACTTTTTCGTTTTTCCTTTTTTTTTTTTTTTCTTTTCTTTCTCTCTTTTCTCTCTTCGTCTTTTTTTGCTATATTTCATAACCGGAAGTTAACTTTATAGTTGAAGTAGTTATTGTAGCAAAAAAAAGAAATATTAATTAATTATCTTTAACGTAATAATAAATCAAGTTTTAACTTTTAACTTTTTCAAAGGGTTTCATGTTTTTCGCAATCTTTTGTTCTTTTGTTTTCTTACGTCAAAAAAAAAAAACGTTACAATAATAATAATAATAATGAGAATAATGATGATGACGATGGAAAACATAATATCGAGCTTTTGTTTAAAACAAACGATAGGAAAAAAAAGTTATGAATATTCAATACTACCACTCACTAGCTACGCAAATATTTTTTATTTTTTTTGTATTGAAAGCAAAAAAAATACCGATAATCGATATTATTATTCGATATATCGAACTTTTACGAAATAACAAAAAAATTAATTGTTTTGCGACGATAAAATTTAAGAAAAAAAATTTTTTTTCTTCTCAAGCACCGGCTACTGGACAATTGAGATTCGTCACTTCCTGCCATTTTTTATTTTCCGGTTTGACGCAACGGACATCATCTTTCATCCTATGATTTTTAGCCCATTCAATTGTTGGGAAAAGAGAACAATCGCATTCCCACGGATTATCGCTCATGTAAAGTGCGACAGTTCTAAACGTCGGCATGTCGATATTAATCGATTTGAAATTATTTCTGGATAAATCCAAAGACGTTAAATGTTTAAGAGGTTTAAACAAATCGGACGGAATCGTAGATAATTCGTTATCGGACAATGATAAAAATTTCAACGACGGCATTTTGTCAAAAGTTTCCGAGTATAATTTTTTTATGCCAGAATTTTGCATCAAAAGCCATTTCAATTGCGGTGCATTTAAAAATGGCGAATTTTTAGGTATAATCAAATTGGGATTTCCAGACACGTTGAAATAATACATTTCCCTACAATTTTTAAATAAATCCGGATGTATCGTCGTGAGTTTATTTATTGACACGTCTACCCATGCGAGAGAATTCGAATTGACGAAAGCATCATCTTCTATTTTTTCTAATTTTGCATCTTTTAAATGTAAATCCGTCAACGATGGAAAATTACTTAAATGATTTTTATTTAAAACTGGAACGTTCGATCGTGTAAATATCAACCATTCTATTTCGTTATTAACGCCTTTCGGTAAATCTCCAGCCGTCGAATCCAAACACGTTAACATTGTATTTTTAACGGGCCTGCATTTATCCATCGAATCTGCTCCCACGTTCGTCGTATATAAATTATTTATTAAACCGACGAATATTATTATAAATTTCTACGAACAAGAAAAAACGAAAAAAAATTTTTTTTTCTATTTCCGTCGGTAAAAACATTCTAGAAATTTCAATTTACTCTTTGTAATAATAATAATAATAATAAAATACTCACAATCATTTTTATTTTTCAACTTTTCCCTTTGAACCCAAAAAAAAAACTGAAACTAAAAAATACGTTCAAATACTATCGCGCAACCGTCTCGACTTATACTGATTTTATCAATTATTATCATTATTATTATTATTATTATTATTATTATTATTATTATTATTATTATTATTATTATTATTATTTATTAATTAATAAACGAAGCGATAAATGATTTCTCGTGTAATGTTTTAAACATATATTTTTCTTCGAAAAAACCGAACAACAATCGATCATTGTTTAAATTTTTTCGTAATTGAATTCGTTTTATTTTGTTCGTTCGTTTGTTTGTTTAATTTAAAGTTGGAGTTGTTGTCCAGAGAAAAAAGAAAAAACGATTCAGACGATTTTTTTCTTTTTTTTAATCTTAATACATCGAGACAATACATCGCAGACCGTGTTGTAATCCGAGACTTAAAAATATTCCGTTCTGTTGTTGTTGTTGTAATTTCCAACATTTTATTATTAATAAAATCCTGTGGTAATTTGACCACCTGTGTCCGGTAAAATTTAAAAAAAAAAATGTACCGTCTCATTTAAATGATGAGGGAACCCGAAAGAAAAATTATCCGTAATTAATTTTTTTTTGTCGTTTCGAGAACTTTCTCTTCTTCGAATCAAGTATAATAATTTTTCCCGTTTTATGACGTCACAACAATTTTTAAAAAACAAACGTTGCGTTTTTACATTACACATTATTATTATTATTTTAAATTTCCGTGAATTTTCTTCCGTCGGGGAGAGGGGGGAGGGAAATTTTTTTTGTTTTTTGTTGTTTTTGTTTGATTTCGCGGAAAGAATTTAAAACTTACATAATTCTTTTTTGTTTAAAAACAATTCACAATAATTTTATCCTTTTTTTTGTTTCGTATCCAACTTACGTAAGAATTAATTCATCCGTTTTAAAGATAGGTCAACAAAGGTCAATTTCAGGCCAGCAAACGAACAAACAAAAAAAAAATCGTTTTAAAATTCCGATAGCAAAAGTTACAGTTAGATAATTTTTTTTTTTTTTAAATTTTTATTCCCGAAATAAAAAAAAATTCCATAGAGTAAAAAAAAAATGATTTTTTTTTTTTCGTGACAGTGTTGCCAGATCATTCAAGTTTTATCTCGAATAGTTTAATTTTTTGTTTCGGGTACGAATTTAAGACGAAAATTCAAAAAGGAACGCCATTTAAATATAAAAACAATTAATTTCAAGTTAAAATTTAACAAACAAAAAAAAATAAAAAATTGTTTGTCGTCGCCCCTTACGATTCATTCTCTACTTTTATATAAATAAATCTTTTAAATAAATTGTTAAGTGAATCGTGGAACTAGAAAACAAAAAAAAAAAAACGAAAAAAAAAAGTATTTCAATTTAAAGAGAGAGAGAGAGAGTAGTTCACGGTAAAATTAACGTATCCATCTTCATTGAAAAAAATAAATTATACAGTCAAACTAATTGGGGCCATGTGTTTGTTTTTTTTTTTTTTTTTTTGTTAGTTTTGGTGCGACATTTTTTTTTTTTTCAAACGGAAACTACTTTTAAGTGAATTTTTTTATTTTAAAGAGAACACTTAAGATTATTTTAATAGCAGAAGGAAAAGGGAAAAAAAACCAAATTATGCATCTTGACTGTGTAATTTTATTTAACCACAGTATAAATATTAATCAAATTTTATCTTTTTAAAAAGCTTTAATAATAATAATAATAATACAACAACAACCACGTGCATCAATTTTTTTTCGTTGTTCTGCTGTTGTTGTTGTGGGAATAATACGTACGGTTTAGAAAAAAAAAATAATTACACATAATTTATTGAACTTAATTAAACGATTTAATATAGTAATAAACGTGATTTTCTTTTTTTTTTAACCGTTGTTGCTTCTGTTTTTATAAACAATGAATGAGGACGAGGGAGCGGGGAGCGGGGGGCGGGGGTGAAGAAGGAACACACACCCACAAATCTGAAAGTAATGAAAGTTAACCACAAGTATTTTCTTGTCGATTTTTTTTTTATTTTTATGACGTCAATAAAACACCATTAAGATAATTTTTAAAAGTTCTGGTGTTTGTTTGGTTGTTTAATGGCGGAAATAACAAACATACGTATTTTTTAAAAATAAAACCTTCGTTTGTAGTGTTACAATTCGTTTGTTGTTTCAAAAATGAATTCGTAATGATTGTAACGTCATCAATTAATCGCGCCTAAAATTTAAATCAGCGAGAAAAAAAAACACAATCGATTCTCGGAATGAAAATCAATAAATAAATTTAGTCTATATTGATCGAGATTTGCAAAACATATTCAATTCGATACGACGATTTATTTAAAACGTAAGTAATCAATCAATCATTTATTTATTTATTTATTTGAAAAATTTATTCAATTAAATTTATTTGTTTGTTTTGTTTGTTTTTAAATAAGTGTTTGTTTGAAAAATGAATATCGTCATAGGATACGTTTTCATACTGTTAGCAACAGCATTATCATCATCATCATCATATGTATTGAGTGAAAAAAAAGATAAATGTAGAATTGTTCAGAAGACAACTCTTACGTGCGTGGAATCGACACCGGAAGATTTTCCAAGCGTTAAAAATGATAAAATCGAATGGTTGTTAATATCGAAATCGAATATACCATCGATAACGAAGAATTTATTGAAACATTATCCGAGTTTGACGGATCTTCACGCGGAAAAAAACGAAATTGAAAAAATCGATGAAAATGCATTTTCCGCCACGAAAAATCTCGATTGGGTCGACGTGTCGTTTAATAAAATAACCACCGTGAGTCCGAAAATTTTTTCTAATTGTCCAAACATACAGTATTTCAACATATCCGGTAATCCAAACTTGGTAATACCGGAAAACGAGCCTTTTATCGAATCGCCATCCCTTCAATGGCTCCTCCTTCAACAATCCAACATAAAAATGGTTTACGAAGAAACATTTAAAGGAGTACCCGGTTTGAAAGTTTTATCACTGTCTGACAACCAACTCAAAACTCTACCGGAAAACGTTTTTAATAATTTAAATAATTTATATTCTTTGGATTTGTCGAAAAATCAATTCACGACGTTACCCGTGAGCCTTTTCGAACCTTTGCAATACATATCATTGTATTTAAGCGATAATCCGTG